TGAAACCAGGGTGGAATAATCAGAAATAATATCCCTATTATTTGTAACATGGGTTCCTTTCCAGAGAGGCCATCAGTTTTGTTGACCTGTTCTCATTAGCCCTTTTAGAGTCCATCTCCTCCTTCTTCCCTCCCTCCACCTCTTCTGTGTGTGTGTGTATGTGTGTGTGTGTGTGTGTGTGTGTGTGTGTGTGTGTGCGCCCTTTCTATCTTCTTTCGTGTCAAATCTTGACTCTTTGATGCTGACATGATCTTCAGGCTTGTTTTAGACATTGAAAACAGACTATAAGCATCTCGCCCAATTCTCCCTCCCGTCTCCCTCTTCTGATCCTTCCCCTCCTTTTCCTTTACTCCTTCCCGTTCACCTTCCTCTCCTGTCCATTTTCACGCTCTTCCCTTAGGATGAAGCTGGCAAAGGTACCCCAAGCCCAGGACTCTCCCTAGCACTTGCTGCTAGTGAACGTCTGGTACCACTACCCAACTGCTCAAAGGATTTGTGTTCCTTTTCTTCTTTAGACTGGGATCATGAGCTCACGTCTGTCAGAAATCTGGCTGAGTTGGCAGCTGGACATGCCAGACCAGGAGGGGCTGGAACCTGGAGCAGGATCTGCCCACTGAGGCAGGGCCAGGATTTGAGGGGGTCCTGGCAGCTGGTGGTAGGAGGAAGCAAGGCCAGGCTGGGGGGGGGGTTGTCAAAGGAAGCTGGCATGAGGCAGTTGGCAGAGACTGAGAAGGCAGTCGATGTCAGCAATATGGGGCAGCAGGTGGCAAAGACTAAATCACAGGGAGGAACGTAAGGTATCTGGTCCCCAGACTCCTAGACCCTGAGGCCCCCTGTCATAGGGTAGAGTGCCAGGAAGAGAGAAAGAGATAGAGATGCAGTTATTGCAGCTGGGGGTACCAGACAGAGATCTGTCAGAGGAAAATGGCAAGTCAGGTCCTGTGACCGAGAAACAAAGGCAAAGCATCCCTGCTACTGACATTGGGGTCCAGGGAGCCCCCTTACCACAGAGGGCATTGCTGTCTGAGCATCCTGGGCAGGTATAGAGAGTTGTGCATTCAGAGGTCCCCCAGGGCGGCTTCTTTTCCTGTTTCCCTCCCTGCATCATGCTCTCGGCCAGCCCCTGGGATTGCATAGCCACCCCAACTATAGTGTGGAAAAACCCCAAAGCACATTCCACACGGAGGCAGGACAGCGCCTGGAACCCAAACCATCTCAGGCACAAACACCATGAGGAGGATATTCCTGCATTGTCTCCCCCAGGCTCTCCTCCAGCCCTGAGCGGCTCTGACCTTTCTACCCAGTTGCTCCCAGGATTCTATCATGTCCTCCATTTCTAGTGTCCCTTTCCTGGTCTGTGCTCTACCTGTAAGATTTTGCCTATAGCTGTGGCCCCAATGCCATCTGTGCTGAGCTAACTCTGACCACCTGGAAGACTCCCCCTGGCGTCTGCCACAGTCCTATCCCTGGAAAGAACTTCCCCCAGGGTCTGTGACTTCTCCAAAAGAGCTTCTGCCCCCCTTTACCTCTTCTTGCCTCACCCAAACCCCACCCTCTACATCTGCCACAGACACATATGAAACTCACCGGCCATTTGATACACATGTACTTGGTGCGGGGATGAGGGGATGGAGGGGGGAACTACGCTGTGATACGGTTTGAGTTGAGAAACGGTTTCTTCCTTGTACCCTTAAACTTCCCATCTATAACAGCTTCTGCTTTTCCATTTTCTACCATGGCTGCTTCTCCATACCCTCACAAAACATTCATTTCTTTTGGGACAACCAAGCCTAAAATACCATCCTACAGTCCCTTATCTGCAATTCCAAATCCCCAAATCTATCTTTATTCATTTACTTATTTTAGTTGTAGTTGGACACAATACCTTTATTTTCATTTATTTATTTCTATGTGGTGCCAAGGATTGAACCCAGTTCCTCGCATGTGCTAGGAGAGCACTCCACCACTGAGCCACAACCCCAGCCCCCTCCCCAAATCTTAAAGTTAAAAGATTTGGGGGTTTTTGTTTGTTTGTTTGTTTTTAGTTCAGTGCCAAAACTCATCTGGTGACAAATCTTGACCTAAACTGATGTGAAGACACTTTATCTTCACACCCACTCAGTGTAAAGATTCCTACATTTGATCGCAGAAGTATGAATGTATCTGATTTTGAGACGTTGTTCCTAGACCCCAGGGGATGGCTCCACATGTTTGGTCCCTTTCTGAATTCTAAAACACTCCTGGCTTCAAGGATTTCCAAAGGGACCTGGAGGGCATTAGAGGAATTAGAAATTACAGGACCACAATTGCCTGGCCTGTTGAACTCCACCCTCACAAGTGCTGAAACCAGATTGCTGAAGAACTCCCCTGATAGAATACCTCTGTCATTTCTGATTTCTCTGTTCTTCCCCAGCACCTTTGGTCCATTGTCCCCTTACCTGGCCAGCTGCAGGAAAGTGTGAGATCATTACAGAGTTGTTTTGTGCAGAGAACCTATTCACATCTGGATGGCTAATGCTAATAATTAACCAGACTGGTTACTAAACCTGTAGGGTTTAGGTGAGGTGAGGTGCCACAGCTGGGGCTGCTGCTCACAGCTTCCCAGGCAGAGAGGGAGGTGAGAACAAAACCAAGAGAGGTGTGCTTAGATGCTTGGGATTGAGTGAAACAGGCTAATTACCAGTCACTTGCTGTCTCCCTGAGTTGGAGTTTCTGGCTAAGGAACGTTCATGGATCAGACAGAATCTGACAACCTGCAACTTATTTCCACACTAAGAAGGTGTCAGGGACCAAGATGCAGAGTATGCTGTGGAGACAGTCTCTCGGGTGTCAGGACCTTCCTTGGGCATGTGATACAGATGACTTTGGGACAGGGTGGTGGCACCATCTAGCAGAGTGTAGAGCCAATTGCTCTCCTTAGGGAGATAGTAGGGGATCAAAAAAGCTCCAGAGGTGGAGTCTATTTACAGCTAGGTGAAAGGTCTTAACTTGGACCCCCTCACACACACCTCAGTTCTCATGATCCATGAATGATTCCCCCAAATTGCATGTAAATATGTGTAAATATTTTTCTGAGAACAAATCTACAACATTTATCAGATTCTCGGAAGGTTCAGGAGGATCTTTGGTCCCCAAAGGCAGGTGATTATAAACCAGAAGGTCTCCTAACCACCCTGGAGAAGCAGATTAACATTGGGCAGAGTCCCAAAAGACTCAGGATCCCTAATGATCCTGAAATTATACTCAAGGGATATGTGTGTGTGCATGTGCGTGTATAAATGTGTATGCTCGTATATTTTTCTAGAAAAGGAATTCAATAACTTCTGCCAGATTCTCAAATATGTCCACAATCCTCAAAGGATTAAGAACATGAACTCAAAGAGCTAGAAGGTTTGTCTATGCTTAGTTCACAAAGACCTGAAAACATGGTTCACAGTAGTTCTGCTCAATATCTGGGGATAACAGGATCCAGCCAGGGGCTGGCTGGTGGGGCCTTCCACAAAAGAACACATCCGCGTTATTTTAAGAGTCAAGTGCTCAGAAGTCAGGCTACTAGGTGACTGTCACAAAACCTTCAGTAGATGGAAAAACAGTCCTGGCTTCTTCCCACTTTAATGGCAGATTCCCAGGTCTTTCTCTTCCCAAGCCCTGAGCCCCAGCTTTCAGAAGTCTAAAGAAAGCCTACTCCCAAGAGTTCAAAATTCATTCTATACTTAGTGAGTGCCTACTATGTGTCAGGTTCTATTCTAGGTGTAAAATAAGAGACTTGCCTTCTCTGTGTTATCGACCTAGGCCAATTTCCTGCCCTAGACACTAGTATTTCGGGCCCTGCTGACCAAAAGCGCGTTCTTCTGGAGCTTCGCACCCAAAGGACCCAGGTCTAGAGAAGCAGAAGCCATCCCAACCCACCACAGCAAGCTGGGGGTGAGGAGGGGAGAAGCAGTACCTGTGAGCAAAGCAGTGAGGGAGGCTGAGAGGACACCAGGGAGCCAGAGCAGGTGGACCAGGCTCAGCTTGGGCACTGCTGGAGTGGGAACTAGAGGGGTGGAGTTGGGTAGGAACACTGCTAGGGGCGCGGGGAGCCAGACGCGGGGAGCGGGACGCAGGGTGCTGGGTTTGTGAAGCAGACGCTGCCCGCAGCCGCTTTGGCAGCCGCCCCTGATCCCGGAGCTGTGCTCGCCCGCTCCCCGCCCGCTAGGGCCGTCGCGAAGCTCTGCTCCCCATACAGAGCAGTCCCGGAGAGGCGCTCGGACACGTCCCCAGGCTGGATAAAGATCGGCTCGGCGCTCGCTCCGCAGCACGAAATCTCGCCATCAGCGCTGCTAGCACGGCCGCTCAGGTCCTCCCGGAGACGCCAGATCTCTATCTCCGGGGAAACGAAAAAGCAGTGTCCCCTCTCTCGCCACCA